GTGGCACATTAGTATATGTGAGGGGGCAAACTCCTCAAGATGGGTGGTGACCATGGTGACCATTTAGAAGTCGGCCATCTTGGTCACAACTTTTGTTTTTTCAATAGGAAGAGGGCCATGTGACACATCAAACTTATTGGTAATGTCACAAGAAAAACAATGGTGTGCTTGGTTTCAACGTAACTTTATTCTTTCATGAGTTATTTATAAGTTTCTGACCACTTATAAAATGTGTTCAATGTGCTGCCCATTGTGTTGGATTGTCAATGCAACCCTCTTCTCCCACTCTTCACACACTGATAGCAACACCGCAGGAGAAATGCCAGCACAGGTATCCAGTATCCGTAGTTTCAGGTGCTGCACATCTCGTATCTTCACACCATAAACAATTGCCTTCAGATGACCACAAAGATAAAAGTCTAAGGGGGTCAGATCGGGAGACCTTGGGGGCCATTCAACTGGCCCACGACGACCAATCCACTTTCCAGGAAACTGTTCATCTAGGACTGCTTGGACCTGGCACCCATAATGTGGCAAGGCAAGGCAAGGCAAATTTATTTGTATAGCACAATTCAACAACAAGGTGATTCAAAGTGCTTTACAGAGACATTAGAAACAAAAACAAATAAAAAGCATGATTTAAAATTGATTAAAACAAGCAAACAAACTAACTAACTAAACACACACATTTCACACCTGTTCGCGCGATCTGAACCCTTATCGTAAGGGGAGCTACCAGTCCTTCTGTGGACGAGCTACTTTCTATTTTAAATTCCCTGAATTTAAAATACTCTCTAGACCCAGTCTAGACCCAGCTGGGGAGCTACCCAGAGCGCTAAACCCACTTAACAAACAAACAAACAAACAAAACAGTATATAAAATCAAAACAGATAAAATCAGAAATAGATAAGATCAGTAGTTAGTGTAAGTTTTGAAATTTAAGCTTAAAAGTGTGGATTTGGTGCTTTATTCAAATGCAGCTGAGAATAGGTGAGTCTTCAACCTGGATTTAAATAAACTGAGTGTTTCAGCTGATCTGAGGCTTTCTGGGAGTTTGTTCCAGATATAAGGAGCATAAAAGCTGAATGCAGCTTCTCCGTGTCTGGTTCTGACTCTGGGAACTGATAAAAGACCTGGGGAACTGATGTGGTGGTGCACCATCTTGCTGGAAAAACTCAGGGAACATGCCACCATGGTCACCACCCATCTTGAGGAGTTTGCCCCCTCACATATACTAATGTGCCACAAACAGGAACAGAGGCAAGGACTTGATACTGAACAGAAGGAACACGGAGTACAGGGAGAGGAGTGACTTGAGACACGACAAGTAAATGTGTTTTACTTACATAAAGAGCAGAGCAGGAACAAGTTTACAAAGAACGCCATCATCTTGTCTTCTTCAATACAGCAGTGCTGCCTTTCTGAACTGCAGCAGCTGACTTCTCAGATTCAACAACGCCAACTTGTCCTACATTTTGCCACATCTGACATTTCTGATTGGTTCATCACCATCCTCTTACAGAAAGTGATTTGTTGATTTGCACTGAAAGGAAAAATCCCTTATGGCCCATTTTGAATTTTACATCATGAAACTGTCAGTTTTGCTTCATACTTTCTAGAACAGCAGAAGGCCTAATTTTTATGCATTACACAAATGGCCCCAAAGCTGATAAAGTATGGAGAATAGATTGAGTATAAAAAATACTCACTTGACTGGACCAGTTAGTGATAAGCAATTGATTTATTGAAACAGCGCATTTGTGCCTTTATCATAGGCATAAAAATATCTAAAAACATTTTGTATTATTTACAGATGTGTCCATAACATAGACAACATAGGCACAGGGTTATTTTGTTGGCTTCAGTCTTTTTTTCTGGTGTAAGACTTAAAGTGGTGTTTAAAAGTAAAAGTAAATACTGGATAAATACTTATATTTAAGTTTTTATTGTTTCACAAAAGGTTAGAAATGGAATGTCCACAGTTTAGAGTTTATTTGCAGATGTTTTTTTTAAATAAGCTTGGCAGAGGCAAAGAAAAAGCAAAAATAGAAAGAATAAAGAAAAGAATAATGAAATCACGTCAATTCTACTTAATTAACTCTGAGCTAATGATGAGTTTGCAGTGAGGTGGAACACATCTTCAGTGCTGGAAGTCCCTATCTCACCACCAACCTCTCTCACTCCAAAAATAAGAACATAGTGCAGATCAATTAAATGCATCACGCTTATATCAGAATATATCAGTTCTCCCTGAGCTGCATCTTCTTAATCTAAATTGTGATGCTGTTGTAGAAACCTACAGTGTATCCAGAAAGTATACAACGCTTCACTTGTTCCACATTTTGTCATTACAGCCTTATTCCAAAATTGATTAAATAAAATTTCACCTCAAATTTCTACACACCTTACCTCATAAGGACTTGTTGGTGAGGAAGTCTCCCCCCTCACAATGACCAGACTCTGTGTCTGACCTCAGCTGATGTGAGGAAAACTCTTCACAGAGTTAACCCAGGGAAAGCTGCTGGTCCAAATAACATCCCTTGGAGAGTACTCCGAGAACGCGCAGACCAGCTGACAGATATCTTCACTGACATCTTCTACCTCTCCCTGAGCACTGCTGTCGTCCCAACGTGCCTCAAGGCCACCATCATCGTTCCCGTGTCAAAGAAGTCTTCAGTGTCCTGCCTCAATGACTACCTTTCAGTTGCACTCACACCCATCATAATGAAATGCTTCAAGAGTCTCCTCATGAGTCACATTAAGACCACGCTGCCACCCACACTGGACCCACTGCAGTTCACGTGTCGCCCCAACCGGTCAACAGACGACACCATCGCCACCACCCTACATCTTGCCCTCACCCACCTGGACAATAAAGACACATATGTACATATATACAAATGCTGTCCATAGACTTCAGTTCAGCATTTAACACAATCATTCCTCAGCACCTGATTGGAAAACTAAGCCTGCTGGGCCTGAACACCTCCCTCTGCAACTGGATCCTGGACTTTCTGATGGAGAGACCTCAGACAGTCTGGATCGGTAACAGCATCTCCAACACAGCCACACTGAGCACTGGAGCCTCTCAGGGCTGTGTGCTCAGCCCACTGCTGTTCACTTTGTTGACTCACCACTGCGTAGCAGTGCACAGTTTGAACCACATCATCAATTTTGCTAATGACACGACTGTGGTGGGTCTCATCAGCAAGAACGAGTCAGCATACAGAGACGAGGTGAAACCGCTAACAGACTGGTGTAGAGTCAACAACCTGTCTCTAAATGTGGACAAAACAAAGGAGATGACACTCTTCACCCTGCTGTCTTCTGGAAAGAGGCACCAGAGCATTCATGCCCTCACTGCCAGACTGTGAAACAGCTTCTTCCCCCAGGCTACACACACACGTATCGTTCTGTTCTGTCTGGTGTTGCACTTTTTTTTGGTTTTTGCAATTTTTGCACCTTGCACATTATGTAGTCATGTGTTTATTGTCTGTTATATGCCATTTGTAGCGCCATGGTCTTGGAGGAACTTTGTCTTGTTTCACGGTGTACTTCACCACTGCACATGGTTGGAATGACAACAAAACCACTTCACTTCACTTGACTTGATCACTACCAGCAGCCGTGACTGTCTACATGAGGCAAGTTGGATCCATGCATGGAATGCTGAAAGTCAGTCAACTTTAACAAAAATAAATGAACAGTTAACAGTCTTTAAATTGTTTGATTTTATTGTCTGATCAACTTTTTTTATTAACCTTTTTAGTATTTGCGCAACGATTTATAATGTTTCACAACATTTTTTGGCACATGGCTGTGTATTGTAGAACATGAATAACACTACAACAGCATTTTTAAAATTATCATTATTGTTTTAGCTTTAGACAGTTCCTTACCTTATCTGATTATAAAACCTGCTTTGAAATATTGTTTTTAAAGGGATATTTATTCTGTTGACAAAATGCAATTCCCCCCCCCCCCCCCCCCCCCCCACACACACACACACACACACACACACACACGCACACACACTTTATTTCTATGTGTACCTGAGGCAACCTTCTTTAATCAGAAATGAAAAAGTCACATCCTCCAGGATTTCATTGAATAATTTAATTTTTTATAACAGTGAGTAAGTGTGATTGTGACAAATGGGACTATTGCTGTGAACCAACAACACGAGGCCCAGAGATCTCAAAGTAAGTAACTGTCAGAATAACAGTTTATTATAACAGTGACACTAATGGATCATTTCTGGATCATCTCGTCTGTGATGAAGAGAAGCCCCTTTACATCAGCCATTGAAATGAAGAAAGCTCTGCACAAAACAACCACAAAGAGTATCATTGAGTATAGATTATTATCTATAGGGTCTAACTTACAATATAAAGCGCCTTCAGGCAATGGTTGCTGTGATTTGGCGCTGTATAAATGGAATCGAATTGAACTGAAAGAGAAGACTTCACAAGGTCACATATGCAAACCAACAGTTTAAAAACACACAATTTATAAACTCAGTGCTTACAGTAAAACAGTGAGATACGCTGCATGAAAAGCTGAAAATGCTTTTTGTAAAGGCATGATATGTGTTAATGATAAAAAAAAACTATCATATACAAATGATAGAAAGCGAGCGAGAAATTTCATCAGCGTGTCAGCTTTCTCCACGCTTTAAACGCTGCATGCTCATACTCTCTCCCGCACTCGATATGTGATCCATTGTTGATCTGCACACAGCTGTTGTCACTAACGGCGCACTCGCTTACGTCACTGTCGTGAGACATTCTCGCAAAAAATCACGGTTTTAGTAACGCAGTAACGCAGCGTTCCTACGGGAAAGTAACGGTAATCTAATTACCGATTTTGCAATAGTAATCCCTTACTTTACTCGTTACTCGAAAAAAGTAATCAGATTACAGTAACGCGTTACAAGTAACGCGTTACTGCCCATCTCTGATGTCTAGACATGTGGCATCAAAGTCGTAACGGCTTCAGTTCAGTGTAGCTTCACCCTGGAGTACACACATTCACTCCAGATACCATCTCTCTGTTCATTTGATCTCTTGATTTCGAGGTTTTCTTCACCTCGAACCTGAGAAACAGTACAATAATGTGAATGAAATCAAAGTTATGAGCCACTAAGGATGGTATAATGATTATATAAATATTCAACTAAACAGCACACACCTTGGACAGAGGTGAAAGTCCTGAGCTAAACTCTGAAAAGCAGGCAAAGTGATTGACGTTATGCTCAGTGGAACACACAGTATAGAGATCAACAGCATCGGTTTCTGTACAATGGTAGCGGTTTCTCTTACTGATCATGAACACAGCGAAAACCAGATAAACACCCATGATGATGATGATGATGATGATGCATGACAGGGTTCTCTCACGGACACAAAAACTCTCGTGATCATTGATGTCGTCTGGCAATACAGACAGGAGACATTAGAATTTCATTTCAAACCAACTTCTAATGTATGAATTGAAAAAGCAAGAAAGAGGTTATAAAAAGATAATCATCATATGTGTATTTGGGAAATTATGAGTTTTAAACACAAGATTTTCTACTGCAAAAAAATCTTAAGTAAATTGTACTCCAAAGTTACTTATACCAATCTTGGTCCCATTTCCAAGCAGTATTTGTCCACATGCATTGACAGCACAGTAGTAGACCCCAGCGTCATCCCGGCTCCTGACGACAAAGTTGTACACGCAGGTAGTTCGTCCTCTGTCAGTTCTCTGGGAGATGTTGTTCTTATTGTCAGAGCAATAAATCATCTCTGGAGCAGAACGATCCGAGTTTTTCAGCCACATGAAACTAATGAGTTCTGCTGTGCATTGAGCAGAGTGAAGAGAACAGCTGAGAGTCACAGAGTCTCCGGACCTCACTGACTTTGATTCTGGCTGCTGGACGACAGAGTCGCTGATTGTCTTTGCACCTTGGAAAACAAACCATTTGGACTGTGATTGTTAGCACTGTGTTCATATTCAGTTGAAATTATGTGAAATGCAAACATGTCCAAACATACCTGTCAACATCAGAAATGTTCCTGACCCAAACTGAACCTCACTTATGTGTAAGACTCCACAGAAGTATGTTCCAACATCTTCCCATGATGTTTTATTTATGGTCAGATGATTGTTAGTCATGTCAAATTTAACTGAAGAACGGTTAACAAATTCATCACTGAACTCTCTCACATTATACTGAGAATCAGCTTTAACTACCAGCTGTAGTTTCCTCCCTGTAGTCACCTTGTACCACACGGTTTTGGTTGATGCGCTCTTTACGAAGCATTTAATAGTAGCTGAGTCACCAATCTTCACTGTTTTCAAAGATTCAGGCTGAGAGACGTCACTTAACTGTGCTGCACCTGAAATAATTCAGACTCAGTTTCACACAAATGAAGATCAAAAGTTTACACAAGTAAATTTGTTTTACTTACATAAAGAGCAGATCAGGAAAACGTTCACAAAGAACATCTTCATCTTGTCTCCTTCTTCAGTACAGCAGTCCACACCTAATGAAGCAGCAGTATACTTCTCAGATTTAAAAACGCCAGCTTGTCCTACATTTTGCCACATCTGACAGGTCTCATTGGTTCATCACATCACACTGCAGAACATGATTGGCTCTGTCGAGTAACGTGCCATAATGAGAGAGATTGAGGTCCTCCTGGCCGCCCCCTGCCATCAAAGCTGAGGGGGTAAAAGGACTTGACATTCAGCCTTATGTGTTAAAAATGTGTTATTAAAGTTTAGAGTGGTAAAAGAGATCATCATCTTCATTTGTAATCAAAGACAAATAAAAAATGTAAGTGATCGTTATGCAGAGAAATGCAGTTTAAATTGTGGAAATGTCTGTTCTAATGTTTAGAGTGTTGTGTGTAGACATGAGCCATAATCAACCTTTTGTTCATTGGACTGAGAAGGTAAGGACTGTGTCACTAACCAGTCAATATACTTTTGAACAACAAAAACAATGTTGAATGTTGTAAACGTCAAACAGTGAATGATGGTTCATTGTCATTGTGCTGACAGTTAAATGTGCTCAATACTAATCAGAAAACAATCAGTTAACGTTAATTATGTTTAAGTTGACAATTTTAATATTGTGAAAAAAAAATGACTTTAAAGACAGGTTTAATCCAGGCTGCGCTGAAAACATATGTAGAAAATGCCTTGAGAGATATGAGTGTGTGTGTGTGTGTGTGAGAGAGAGAGAGAAACTAAATGAGAGTGCACACAGGACACTCTGATCTCTGAATGTCTCACAGTTAAAGTGCATGACTTAGTAAAAAGGGGGATTGTATTGAGTAAATTGTGACGGAGAAACAGTTTGCAAGAGAAAAAGTATTCGGATTAAAAGGGTTCATGCTAAAGTGAATGTGAAGAATGAAAAGTGAAGCTTATTCAGATATGATTGAATGTTCAAATGTAACTGAATTGTCTTTGATAAAAGAGAGAAATAGAGAGAGAATGATAACGTGTGGCTGAGGATCAGTTGACCTGGTTGATTGAGTAGATATTAGAGAGAGAGAGAGATGGGGCGAGTGGGCACTTGACAAAGTCTAAACTGGGATGTATGGAGGTGTTTTCGGTCTGTTCCCAGCGGTCCTGTAACATTAACAGTTTAGATCATTGGATCTCAGAATTCCAGCAGAGATGCATAGAGGGAGAGAGGACTGCCCATATTCTGGACTTGCTGCGATGTCAATAGGCCAGTCATCCATAAAAACAAAGCAAATCCAGGCATATTTTGAATATTCTTCCTGAGCTAATGACTAGTACAGCTGTAGTTTGTGGCTACACGCATTCAGTGGTGTGATAAAGCATTTTAGACCATCAAACACATTTAAATATTAGACAAAGATAACACATATAAACAAACAAGGGAGTTTCCAAATGAAGGTGTTTACTATTAGGAAGAAAAACCCTACATGGCCCTGTGTGAAAAAGTGTTCACCCCGTAAAACCTAATAACTGGTTGGGCCACGCTTAGCAACAACAACAACTGCAGCGTTTGAGGGCAATGAGTCTTTGACAGTGCGGTGGAAGGGAAGGGGGCGGGCACTTCAAACCACTGTATTCACGCTCCACTCATACTCACGTCTGATCTCAACACACAAACGTCAGAATATTCAAAATATTTTTATTATTTTGGTTGAGAAGGGGGAGGGACTAAAATTCACGATGCATGATTATCATGATATTAAAATACAAATACACATAATTCTTTTATATACATAAAAGACACTTTTAATAGTCTGAAACACAAATGTCATTATTGTCCATGTTAAATTGTGGCGTGAGGAAATGAATGAAATAGTAACTGTAAATGTCTTTTATAAGGGAAGTCATGCTTCAAAGAGAACCTCACAAGGTCCTGTGTTTATACACAGAGACCAAAAGCCTGTCCACTTTACTGCTTTACACTAGAATAGACACATTTACTCCAGGTGTTGTCCATCTGCATTTCTGATCTGTTCATCTTCATGTCCCTCAAAGGTTTGAAATAGAGGTAGCCTCCTTCTTGGTCACCCTGGGAATGAGAAACAGTACAACAGCTGAGCCACTTTCACATTTATTAAAAAAAACTAACAAACATGGATGGAACGTAAAACTGTGCTTTTTCTTTCAAAAGAAAATGCACTTACATTTGCTTTGAAAAAGGGGGAGTTTTTTGCTGGATAATCTGGAAAACAGAAAACTGTGTCAATATAATGTCAAATTCACCGGAGGATACAAAACAAACATAAGGAATACTAAACCACTTGCCTGTGTATGTGCTGCTGTTTTTCTTTCTCATCATGCACATTAAGGAAGCCAGTAAAACACTCAGGACGCTGGTGAAAGCTGAAACCCCCCTCCAGAAATACAACAAGAGAAGAGTGTCCGCTTCATCTACTGAGATAGTAACCCAACAAATAAAGTTAAAACACAGATGTTGTTTTGTCAGCAAAACTGGCTTGGTTGGTAAAATGCTAAATGGCCTGTATTTGTATAGCGCTTTACTAGTCCCTAAGGACCCCAAAGCACTTTACACAACCAGTCATCCACACATTCACACAATGGTGATGGCAAGCTACATTGTAGCCACAACCACCCTGGGGCGCACTGACAGAGGCGGGGCTGCCAGACACTGGCGCCACCAGGCCCTCTGACCACCACCAGTAGGTAACGGGTGAAGTGTCTTGCCCAAGGATGCAAAGACCGAGACTGTCCAAGCCGGGGCTCGAACTGGCAACCTTACGATTACAAGGCAAACTCCCAACTCTTGAGCCACGATCGCCCACTAAATAGACTGATTCTTATAGAGCACTTTTGTACTCTCCAGGAGCACTCTATACAACATGCCTCATACAGACAAGCACGTTTTTTCTGTTTAAGTGTTTTCGAATTTCTGTAACACACTCACTCATTGACGCATCAGAGAGCAGTTTGGGGTTAGTGTGTTACATGCAGACTGAAGCAGCCAGGGATTGAACCACTCATACACCCACCTCATACAACACAAACTGTGCCATAGACAAACAGATGTCGACCATGTCTGGTAATACTGATGACACACTTTTTTTATTATGGGTCAATGTCTGCTGCAAGTAGCGGACAGAGATTAACAATACTGCATGGACATTTTTAAATGTATTTATAGTTAAACAATTCTACCTAATAACATGCGACCATTTAAATTTACCATTTTAAAGCGTGCTGGATAATAAGCGTATTTGTCTGTACTGTTAGAAAGGCTGTCTCCCTCCTTATGTCAGCATTATAACAGCGTTGTCTAGCCTTATTTGTGTCTTAATCAGTTAAGTTATAAGCAAAAGGTCATTAAGCTAGGCACCTAATACGTATTTACTTGTAAATGTCTGAACAATATGTTTAAAGGTTTTCCCATGATTATTTTTATGTTGGCTGGAAATAAAATATTTTTATTTTCCGCTGTAAGTGCAGCTTAGTGCAAGTTACTACAACTTCTGCATGAATGTCCATTTCATGCTTTGGAGAGGCAAAGTGGGAAATGCTTTACAAAGAAAAAGGTCATTAAGATAAGCAGTTAATATGTATTTACATGGTGGACCGGCCTGCCTTTACACACTTTGACATGATAGTGAGTTGCTTGTTCAGATAATAGAACCTTTCCCAAAATTACTTACCCTCAACATTCAGCTTGGTCCCATTACCAAACAGTAAGCGTCCACATAAAGCAACAGCGCAGTAGTAGGACCCAACATGAGAGACATTCAAGTTCTTCATTGGCAGGCTGTACACACAGGTGTGTGCTTGTGCCTCAGATTTCTTCTTGCACTCATCATTCCTGCCTCCATGGGTGTATATGAGCCCTGGATGAGAGTCTTCGGAGTCTTTGAACCAGTAAACCTTGTGGTCTTCATCACAGGTCCCAGTGCGGACTGTACAGTTCAGAGTCACAGAGCCTCCTGGCTGGATGGTCTCAGATAGTGATTGTAGGACAAAAGTCTGGATGTCCAAACTGGAACCTTTTACATTGAGATATGTTTCTTTGGTAAACTCTAAAATAAAAGTAAAGCTTGTTGCGCAGTAGTAAGTAGCTGAATCTGAGACACGCAGATCTGTTATTTTCAAGTGATTTTTACTGATGCCAGTAACTAACGTAAAGCGTGGATTACTTTTGAATTCATTATAAAATATGCCATTTCCCTCATATCTGTAGTAGGTAGAGATGAGCCTTGGTTTTTGTCCCAGAGTTTGTTTGTACCAGTAAAGTCTTGCAGCTTCACCTTCGTAAGAACAGTGCAGAGTTACTTCATCACCAACATCAGCAGAAACAAAATCAGTCTCTTGATGAAGAGATGAGTGCGGTTCAGCTGGCTGAGCTGAAACAAGATACAAGACAACGCACACACATTTCTTTCATTGCATATATATTTAGTGCAGTGGACATCTGAAACCTAATTGAGAAATGACATCTCAAAACAGCAAAATTAGAACTCACCTATTATTCCTACGCACACACGTATCAGATAAACTACAAATATTAAATGTGTCATTATGGTAAAATAATTTTTCTGCTCTTCAAAGAGGAAATTTCATGTGACCGGCCAACCACAGATTATGTGTAATGTCCCGTAAAGGAAACATGCTCATCGCTGTCATGTTTAGCGCTTGAAAAATGAAAAACCACAGACATCCTTGGTTGTGCAACGTTGTGGACGTAAAATGGGTCGTGCTTTCTTTGAAGATTTGCTTCAGTTTCCATTTAGAGAAAGAAAACTACGACGCTCATCTGGTTTGCTTTGTTTCAGATGTGACACTGTGTGGCACTAACATTAAAGTGGTCCTGTCATTACTAATTTCAAACTCAACTCTATCTTCTATTCTTTGACTTACATAAAATAGTTGGTTATTTTGACCACCTGGGATTAGTTTAAAAATGTTGGGGCACTGCCGTGGTTTAAACTCGGCCTCCCTATTGGTCTTTCTTCCCGTGCCTAACTCATACTTTGCCTTCTGCAGCAGGCTTCTTCCTGTAATGATAAGAGCATTAAAATAACACAAACACACCACACGTTTTCCCCTAGGTTATCCTCACACCTTAAAGTTTCTGTGCCTTGCTGCGTCAGGACACCATCACCCCATATTTGTGGTGATGGTGGGCAGGCTGTGAGACAAAGCTGTGTGAAAGGTACAGCCACGTTGCTCGGTGATAGCATAATAGCCTGTTTTAGCTAGCTGAAATGTATTGTTTGGGGGCAAATACGATAGAGTTAAAAAAATGCTTATATATGAATATTCAGTCCAATACACCTAAAACTATGTTGAGATATGTTGAGATAAACTATATTGGCATAGAACTATGGCGCAAGCCTGAAAACGTCCCACAAAAACTGAGCAAACAGGTTTTTTTTAACCTTTTTTTTAAACTGTGCTGCAATTAATTACTGCACAACTAATTTTGACTGCATCTCCACACAGGATATGCTTACGAAGATGGAATATGGGGGCGAGCAGAAGTACGTTAAAGTTCCACAAAGTGATGAATGGAGGACATGCATATTGTATTGAAGAAAAGAGTAATGAACATGATGTCATTTGCATTGTCCAGCACACCTATGTCAGACCCTTTGATAAACAATATTCCAATGAGAGCGTGTACACTGTTCCATGTTTTAGAAAATGATTGAAAATTGCGGTTCACAGTTCAAAATAAATGTTTTTCAGAAAAACATTGGCTCTTTTTAATAAATGTGTATTTCCCAAGGAATTTCTGAAAGTTCAGAAGAGTAAAATTTAAACCTTTTAGAATTAATTAGAAGAAAACTCTTATGTAGTTAAAATAAAATACTCTGTGAGACTTGATATCTAAACTCTTAACACCTAGCTAGCATTAATAAGTGTTAAATTATCAACTCCAGACAGATTTGGTATTTAACACTAAATCTGAGTTAAGATGCCAACTCTCCAAAAAGAGTTAAATTCACACTCTTTGGTGTGGACCCATATAGACACTTTAATAGTGTTGAAATCAAATCTGACAGTGTTAATTTGTGTATACTGGATTTGCTGTGTACCAGGTACTTTTTTAGTACATGCTCGCCCGGGGTTTCCAAGAGTCTGACTAAAAGCCACAGACTGAACAGCATTTATATTGTTGTGTCAACCGTTACCTTTGTGGTAGTGTTCCCATCACATATTAATTACAATGCCGGACTTGGTAATCTAGAGCAGAATGATCAAAATTTGACAGTTTCAGGCCTGAGCAGAAGAGCAGAGGAGGTGAAGCTGTCGACTGAGGCAGAACAGTGTGCATTGCAGAGGAGAAGCTGCCAGGTTAATAGATGTGGCAGATGTAGATGAGATGATAAACCCTGACTGTGGTCGTTTTATAATAATCATTTAACATTTTAAAACCAGCTGAAAGGTCAGTTTTAAAATAAAGCCATTCAGATAGTTGCAAATAAAATAAAGATGGTATAAAAACAGAACATTTATTGTGAAACAAATTCCACAAATTATTCAAAATCAATTTTGAACTTTTCATAATGTTCTTCTGCAAAAATAACATCTTCAGATGTGTTAGGTGTGGTGTTGGTATACCGTTTATTTATTCTATTCTAATTTTAATTTTACGATCTATAATAGAATGATCAAAATCAGTGATAAAACTAACAAGACCTCCAAATACTTAAGTATTTTTTTGTCAAATATTATAATACTCATACTTATACAAATATTATCATTATTATTATAATAAGTATAAAACTTGTGGAAATCAACAACTTAATGTTGGTTGCTCAGATCGACACTTTAATAGAAACTGTTTGTCTTTGACATGAACTGTAATGATATTCTGTACAACTTGATACAACTCTAACTGAACACTCAAAGAACTTTACACAACTTGCCTTATTCACACATTTACACAATGTAAATGCTTTCTATTTAACATTCACACACATTCATACTTCAGTGAATGCATTGGGGAGCAATTTGGCATTAGTATCTTGCCCAAGAGTATTTGTTACATATATTTATGTATGTAGCAAATACTGCATTGACATAACAAATTTCATATTAAAATAATACCGTTTTAGTATGTCAATAATTTATCAGCCAATTAGGAAATATAGACTCTGTGAATAAAAAAAGAAAACAAGCATTTAATGTTCGGACATTCAGCAAATATGCGATGTTATAATCAACTTTTCAGTTGTAATTTATATTAGCAATAAATGAGAAAAAGAAGAGAAATACAGCAACCAATGTACTTTTAAACGAGTCATATTTGAGACAAAATTACACATGACACTGCTACGCTTAAGCCCTATTACACAGAAGTAAACATGTAAAGTTTTATTATTTGATACTAGAATACAGACATTTATCCTCTGGATTCTCTCTTTTTCTTGTAGATCTGCTGGTCTTTTTTACCCTCAAAGCAGCATAATGAAGGGTTTCTTCAGGTTCACAATTCTGATAATGAAATAAATCCACAAATCACAATATGGCACATGTTATAAAATTTGAAAAATGACAGATAATTGTCATAATAACAAAATGATTTAGAATTGTATTATTCTACCTCTGTGTTTGTTATAGAGGAAGCTGAAAATCTTGCATTAGACCCTGAAACAAACACACAGACACACAAATCATATTTCAACCATACTGGATGGTAATTTTATATAAACAATATATGAACAGCAACATTTACCTGTACACTGCTGTCTGCTTATACCATAAATTAAGAAAGCCAGTATAAAGATCAGGATTGTGGTGAATGCCAAGGCAGCAATTAAGAAATACACAGAGAGAAGAAAAGTCTCCTGAGCTGCAGTAACAAATATGACAATAAGATATTATGTTAGCAGCTTTTCCAGTTTGTAATAACATTTTAATTGTAAACAGAACTATTCATCAGTAAAAGAAATGTGTGCTAAGCTTCTACTCACACCCAAAATCCAGCTCGGTCCCGTTTCCAAAAAGCATGTATCCACACGAGGCAACAGCACAGTAGTAGATCCCAGCATGAGAAACATCCAGGTTCTTCATTGGCAGGCTGTACACACAGGTTTTTGTGTGTGTCTTTGGTTTCCTCTCACACTCATCATTCCTGCCTCCATGGCTGTAAATGAGTCCTGAATGAGACTCTTCAGAGTCTTTGAACCAGTAAACACTGTGTTCTTCATCACAGGTCCCAGTGTGTACTGTACAGTTCAGAGTCACAGAGCCTCCTGGTTGGATGGTCTTAGATGCAGACTGCTGAATTAAAGGCCGGCTGTTCAAACCCGAACCTTTAACATTTACAGTGATTCCTTCTGCAAATTCAAAACTTACCGAAAAGCTACTCGCGCAGAAATAGGTAGCTGAGTCCGAAACTTGAAGATTTTTTATCATCAAATGGTTTTGAGCTTTTTCAGTAGACAGTGTGAAGCGTGGATTGTTCTCACATTCATCATAGAAAGTGCCATTTTTATCATACGAATAGAAGCTAGAAATGAGTCTTGGCTTCTCTCCCAGTGTTTGCTTATACCAGTAAAACCTTGCTACCACTTCACCTTCATAGAAACACTGCAAAGTTACACTCTCCCCGACATTAGTGGATATAAAAACTCTGTCTTGACGAACAGACGAGAGTTGATGACTCTTCGGAGCTGAAATGATAGAAGGAAAGAAACAAAACAAAGAAAACTGATTTAAAAAAAGTAGAACTCATGTCACTGAGTGACCTTAATCTCTAAAAGATAAAAGTTACTGAGGAAAAAACACAACTCACTCATTTCCCCAAAGAACAACAGCATCAAATAGAAAACAGATGGTGGAGATATCATCATGTTCAAATCCGTGACTTGAATGGAAAGAATCTTTCTGTTCATAGTGTCTTCAGGGGCAAGACTGTATTTGATTGGCTGATTTAAAGTCACACTGTATGCAAGGAAGCAGCTTCACATTCACAGCATAGTGTCAAAACGTGATGAGAGATTCACATGGAGAACAAAGTGGCTCTTGAACTTTCCACTGAACTTCAAGTTATTGAAATTTAACTGACCACTCAGTCTTACTCGGATTGCACTTCACGGATCTCACTGATCTAAATATTATTTTTTAATATCTAGTCTAGTACAGGAAAATGTAGCAACTTCAACTTAGTGTAAGTGTTGTTTGTACAACAAATAGCTCAGTGGTGAAGGACACTGCTGGCAGTACCAATTTCCTTCGCCACTGCCTAAACTTATAATCTTTACCCTTTTCTGTGTGCATGTTCTTACATGTTGTTATTGACATTTTTTTGTAACTAGTTCAAATCAAGAGAGGAGGTTCATTGGGGAAAAAATGCATATTAAACAAAAAACACCTTGGATCAAATAAGAGCATAAGGAAACTTTCAGATAAGCATGTCTGAAGTGACTTTGGATTTGCACTAGTGGCTAAAAATAATGTATTTCTATCACCATCTTTACTATATAAGAAAGTGATCAATTCGCCACTCTTACATGTAACCTACATATCAAGGAAGTGTACAGTTTCTTTATTCTATTCATAAGTAAACTGAAGGTTATTTTTAAATGCATTTAAGAGATTTAGAATTTTTTTTCAGTTATTCATTTCCTTGAAAAATGCAAAATATTTCACGCTTTAACCTGCAATATTTTGTGTATCTTAAAACCAGCTTATTTTTAACAGGGTTAAAAATAAATCCATACTGGTTCCAGCAATATAAATCATATTTATCCACAGTTATTCATGATGACCAATTTTATCAATGTTTTTTTCCGATCTTTGATGCATTTGTCAAATATTATATTAATTGACATTACTCTAAAACAGTGAGTATAGTACTGCTAGATGTTAGGAGATGAGTCAAAGAAAGAAATTAGAACGAGGAACTGAAGAAGTGCCATTTGGGAAATGTCACTGTATGATCCTGTGGTTTTTTCTTTGTGCTATTTACTACACTGTAAAAAAATATATATAATATAAAAATATAAAAGTATTTTACTGTGTATTTTACAGTTTTGTACTGTTTTTTTTAGAATATCATTAAAATTACATAAAGAAACTGTGATTTTACATTTCAAATGTAAATTAACATAAAATCAAAAAACAATTTTCTTGTTTTTTAAATGTATTTGTCTGTACATATGCATATTTAGATTGTTAAAATACATTCACGAATGTATCATAATTTCACAAATATTTGTCCGTTATTTCAAAGATTGAAGTGTTAAATTCAAATGAAATGCTATGGAAAAATATATAACATGATTCTAACTGATGATTACATGATTGTAACTTTTGTTACATCAAATAATAATTATTATTATTATTGTTATTTAGGGCGATCGTGGCTCAAGAGTTGGCAGTTCATCTTGTAATCAGAAGGTTGCTGGTTCGAGCCCCGGCTCGGACACTCTTGGTCGTTGCGTCCTTGGTCAAGACACTTCACCTACCGCCTACTAGTGATGGCCAGAGGGGCTGATGGTGCGATATGGCAGCCTCGCCTCTGTCAGTCTGTCCCAGGGCATGCAATCCATTATTATTTAAACCAACTGTTAACTGTATATTTCTGTACATTTAAGTATTATTATTCATATTGCCACATTCATTGACCTTGTTTATAGGTAATTTCATTGTTTAATCAGATTAAAATGTTCCTAATTTAATGTTTAAAAGCACTTGAAAAAGGCAAAATCCCATGTAAAATTAGGGCAACAAACTGTATTGTCATTTCTGAAAATAATCATATTTTTATGAGAAAGTTATTTTCTGTTATTTTCTGGTATTATTTTGGCGCCCCAGCTGCCGGAATATTACTGTTTTTCTAGGATTTTTTTTTTTTTTACAGTGTAGTGTAGATCTGCAGAACCAGCACCCCAATGCAACATGCCTGTGTCGGCTCTCTGTTTAAAACATCCCATCCTCTGACCCTATGAGTACTAGCCAAGGCAATGCAGAGTTCAGATGGAACTGGTGTGGGTGAGAGGACTCGCCCAGTTCTCACTGCCTAGAAGTCCAGGTGTGTCTTCCCTGTTTCATCTGATAAGCCACACCGTTAGCAGGAACTCCCCTCTCAGTTGTGGTCCTTGGAATTTCTGGGCTGATTTTAGAGGCCTGGATTTGTATGGCCATGGGACTGTTATTTTTAAAGGGCTGGTGTAGGATTCATAAGATTCACATTTTTACTTTTACTTGGAGCAAGCTTGGAGGAGAGAGCACTAGAGAGCACATCGTTCAATGTTAAACAAAATAATCTAACAGGAAAGCAGGACTTTGTGGATATTCAGCCCTTCAGGAATACAGTGGGATCCCAAATCTTCACATAGTTGGGAAAGGCTGCGAGAAGCTTGGGAAGCTGCAATCCACCATGTAAGCAATGAAAGTACAAATTCTTCTCAGAAATACAATCCAAAACACCAATGATGATGATGAGCAGAGCCAAAGTCCAATTTGGAAATCCAACATCTGGGCAGCGAATGATCCCACTGGCATCTCTGCTGGAATTTCCAACTGCTCATCTTACAGAAGGCGCAGGGAACCGTTCAAGAATGTCTATGGTTGCTTTAATGTATGCTCTGTCAAGAGCCCACACACCTCTCCCCCTTATCTAGACAGACAATCATGTTGTTTACATGAAATCTTCTGCTGTCCAGCCAAACCCTATCATTCTCTCTCTCTATTTCCCCACATACATGTTTTAAAACAAAGTTTAAACTTGAAAATCGTTTCATCCCTTTTTTCATCACTACTTCAATTAGATTTGTCTTTAGCACATTCTCACATGAACATTCATTTTAGCATAATTCCTTTTCAACTAAATCACAGAGGAATTCATTCTATTACTTTTTCTCCTTACAACTCTGTTTGACTTCAACCTCTCTTGATGCCACCTTTGATTTGTATTCAAAGTGTAGTCGCCTTCACTGTTCAGGGTCATTTACCTTGTTGTAGTAAAGCTGTCCCTCTGCAGCATGAAATAATTGTGTACATGGGGAAATGACAGTTTGTGCTTTAGATTATAAGGAGAGAAAAAAAGATTTCTAAAAACTGTGTTGATATGTAATACACAACATAACAGACAAAAAGAAAGACGGCATGGTGAAAGATGTTTTATGCTGCATTTGAACTCACAACTATCAACATACAAGAGAGAACAGAGTGTGTCAAATCTGCCATTAAGCCAATAGACAGTACAAAATTTTGAAAATCTGAATAGAGACACAGCACACAACTGAGCCAGTCGCTTTGAAGTATGAATGGTCTTTTAGTCGGTGAAAAAGAAGTAAAATGGCAGACGCCAATAACATATACTGGGACTGTTGCAAATCCCAGCCCAATCACTTTCTATCCCACCTTCAATGAGTCTGTCAGTTTCATTGCAGTGTGCTTTACTGATCTTCGTGCAGTCACTGGTTATTGGTGGGATTGTTGCACTGCAGCAATTCGTGGATATTTGGATGTTAGTCTGTTCTTCTTATTCAATACTGACATTATTACTGTAGTCCAATATTTTTTGGACCACTTTCTGTGAGTCAGTCAGCTTCTATTCTGTGTGCTTTACATTTATGTGCTCTTCTTCTTCCCCATCCTCATCTCACTCTGGTCCCTCAGAGAGCTACCCAAGCCTTCATCTTTATATCTGAGATGACAGCATAGCTACAGTCTTTCAGTTGTGGTGAGAATGTTAATGGAAGCCAACATCTGGAGTTTACTTCCCAGCCAAATGCCATTCTGTTTGTAGGTATTGGCTATAGCTATTATTAATGGACTACACTTAATTGTGAACAACAACAACAATGATAATAATAGTAATAATGATGTGGGAAGTATTTGCAAATCCCAAACACAGATTTCCCACAGCTGTTTTAAATGCACAGACTAGATAACTATAAGCAAACAGTTTGTTTTCTCTAACTAATGTTGAACTAGTGATGGTAAATTTGATTCTTTTTACTGAATCGAGTTTTAATGAGTCACTCACCAAAGTGAATCGGGTTTTTTGAGTCATTTGATTCACTGAAAATCATTCATCTTAGCAGTGGGATTTACAGAGAGTGCAAAAAATTTACATTTTCACTCAAACTTAATTTGTTTCTCTTTTCATGTAAATCCCACTGCTAAGATGAATGATTCTTAAAAAAAACCCCAACTATTTTATAGAGCAAAAAAGAGCAAAAACATTTCTAAAATTAAGCAATTTCCTATCAAAATTGCTTAATAAACATTTATTTTGTTTATTTTTATTTTATTAGTATTTTCCTTAAATGTGTTAAATATATATTTTCTCATCTAAATGTCCACTGAGCTGTGAGCCAGGGGGCGGTAATGCGCCTTAACATTGGTTGCCAACCAAGAAGAAGAAGAAGCTATGAGCCAGGAGGGAGGGGGTGAGTGAGTGAGTGATTTGTTCGTTCGCTCTATGATTCAGCACAGGAGGGAGGGGGTGAGCGAGTCCTGAGTGATTCGTTCGCTCTATGATTCAGCACAGGAGGGAGGGGGTGAGCGAGTCCTGAGTGATTTGCTTATGCTTACGATTCAACACAGGAAGGGAGGGGGTTGTCACTACCTGATCCGTACCGGAAACCCGATCGGTACCCCGCATGCACGAAAGGTGTCTACTTCCGGTCGTAGCATTTTACTATAGTTATGGGTTAGAGTATCTGTTAAGACATTAAGAATAATAAGTATATCTTAAAATGTTTGCAATAATGAAGCATTTCAGTACAATGTAGACAAAAAACGAAAAATAAAAAGATACTTAAGGATCGGGACTCCCCGATCCTTACTGCGCATGTGCAAAGTCGGACCGTACAAATCGGGTCTACCCGATCCATACC